GGAGGCCAGCGTTACTTACCTGTGGCGCCATCGCTCCAGCTCCATCTTCGTGGTACCTGCATCAAGGCGCCAACTTCACAGGTTAGTACTGGACACAGAGAGAGCGAGAGAGAGTTCTTCTTCTTCCTCTTCCAAGTCCACCTTCTCTTCTCACCCTCTCGCCACCTGACTTCTCAGACTACGAAAGAGAGAGACAGAGTTTCTGACTTGAGACTTGACGACATTGGATCCAGACTTGACATTTGGGATTCAGACAGTTCGACGAGGGACTATTTGGGCTTATGCCGAAGACTTGGTGTTGACGACATTCCCATCTTCCCCCTCCTCCTCGTCTATCCCCTTCCTCCTCGTCTGTGCATGTTCTGGGCTGGCGCTGTCTTCCTGTGTGAAGCGCCAGACCCATTCCCACTATGAAACGATGATGATGATGTATGTTCAGGGCTGCATTACAACATTGATTGTTCGGATCACTAGTATCTAAGTTTTCCGCTGTGCTATCTTATACCTGTATTGAAAGGTCGGTTCTTGTTCTGGTCTGCACCTATACGGTATGCAACAGCCTCCCTCCTCCACCTACACCGATCCACCATAACCATGCACCTTCAACCTCCACCTCCCTCCTTCACCTACACCCGTCCACCATAGCCATGCACCTTCAACCTCCGTCTCCTTCCTTCACCTACACCCGTCCACCATAGCCATGCACCTTCAACCCTCACCCCCTTCCTTCACCTACGTCCATGCACCATAGCCATGCACCTTCAACCTCCACATCCCTCCTTGACCTACACCCGTCCACCCCATAGGCCAGCCACCGGTTATGATAAGTCGATGATCGAGGTCGATTAGGATGTGAAACTTGCTCTCTCTCCCTCCCTCTCTCTCTCTCTCTCTCTCTCTCTCTCTCTTTCTCTCTCTCTCTCTCTCTCTCTCTCTCTCTCTCTCTCTCTCTCTCTCTCTCTCTCTCTCTCTCTCTCTCCCGCGCTCTCTCTTTCTCTCCCGCGCTCTCTCTTTCTCTCCCTCTCTCCTCATCTTCCTCCGTTCCTTCAAAATTCCCTAACTCCTAAAGCCTTCCGTCACCCCTTCCCCTCCATGGCATGTGAGTAACTTCTATCCTCACCGTTACATTGCCAGGGAACGAACGGAAAGGAACTTGGTCCTCACTTGGTGGAAAGCGAGGGCAAGGGAAGGGCTGCCGGTCCCTTGTGCCACCAAAAAGGAGAGGATACGAGGACGTTGGTGAGAGCAAAAAGGAGTGTTGTTTTGGACAAGGTCAGTCGACTCAACCACCTCCTCGACTGCATGCCTGAGTAAGAAGAGTGTGGTTTGACTGTGAGGAAGGAAGGAAGGCACCCAAAAACATGGAAAAAGAAAGGGAAGACTTGGACTTGCATGATGGGCGGTGTGTTGACCCCATCGGGTACGGACGTATGCCATTGTCATGTTTACTTGGATGTGTTGCAGGTAAGTGGCTTGGACGATCTGGCAATGAGGGGATTGTGCGACATGAGACCGTAATGAGGAGAAGGGGGTTTGAATCTCGAACGGCCGGGGCGGACTTTGGGCTTTGACGATTGCATAACTAGCGCGACCTGAAAAGACTAAGGGTCGGGGATGGGGTTTGAGCCTGACTTTGCCGTGATGTGTGGTTGTGGCTGGGTCGCGAGTTTGGTAGGACCGCCTCGAAGGACTAAGGGCGGTCACGAGACCTGGGAGATGTATGCGTAGGCCAACTAGAGGAAAGATAGGGGCTAGGGGCAAAGGTACGAGCCGCCCCGATGATACTATAGGAAACTAGGGCCGTTAGTGAAGGAGTGTGTGGCCTAAGGAGAACGCTTAGCCTACGCACTGTAAAGAAGAGAAAGCTCTCAATGAACCTCCCTGGACTGCCTGAGTATTGGAAGGAGCCATTGCCTGGTAAGACAAACAGAGAATCGAAAACCTTACGCCTGTGGACCTAGACCAGTGAGGCTACCACCCGGCTAGAGGGTTGAGCTACATCCCCAATGTTAAGCTCTCTCGCCCTATTGGCCCAACCCCATCCATCTCATAGCACTAGGTAGGGGTGCCCCTGGGACGAACGACCCGCGCCCTAAGAGTGAGCGTGGGCGGGTCGAGCCAAGTGGGACCCGCAGTGGGGTCGACCAAGGCTCGAAAGTCCTTCAGGGTACGGCCCCGACAAAATGGTGGAGGTGACGGGCAGGGGTTAAATCGACCCATACGATCTCGAGGGGGGCGCCCGACGCATGACCGAGAACACAAACGTAAAGATAAGAAATATGGACTTGTGTATGCTCTTTCCTTTGAGGGAATCAGATTTGAGGGTGGCTGGGCGCATGGCAAGGCCAGGCCCGGAGGAAGAACATGCATGTTTGCACTTTACTCAGCCATCTTCTTTGGAGATGACTCTAGTCCTCCTTCCCTTGGACTGATGTTCGTCAGGCCGGGGAAGCCTTGGGCAAGCCGCAGGTCGACCCTTCCTCTTCGTGTGAAAGAAGGGCTCCAGTTACCTGGCAGGCGGTTGGGATTCCGGGCCAGTCCGGGTTCCAATGAAAATCCCGCGGCGGAGTGATCCGACCGACCTGGGTGCTTCTCTACTTCTCTTCGGAGCCCAGCGGGCTCCGTGCACCGCACTTAAATGCTTGAAGGAACCTCATATGAACACAAACGGTAATCGAGAAGGAACAATCCTTCCCTATGAACGGACACACAAGTGAAGATGAAGGGAATGAAGGGAGTTGCTAGACTCCAGGGAAAAACTAGCTCCCCTTTGAAGATGCTCACGAAAAGGAACCGGGCACTATGTATGGAAAGTAGGGGTGAGTGGCACATGCTATCCTGAGAGAAAATTTGTGAGCTATGGGTAGGAAGCGCTGGGTGCACCAGGGGAAAGGCACTTATGTTATGTGTGTCCCACTTGGGGCTTGTAATTAAATGATTGGGATTTCGAGCGTCCTGCCATTCGGAAGGACAGGATTGGTTTGCGCCGGTCGGTGCGGGATGCAAACTGGTCGTCCTCTTTGAAGTTCACAGGGTTCCGTGTGTGGGGGTCGGGCCACCGGACTGTCAGGCAAGGGTTGGTATCGTCGGCTGATTAGTAGCATTCCCACCCGAGCGGTCCAAGCATGGCTCGATGACCTTGCCCAGGCGGGATGTGAAACCTCTTCAGGTGGGGCGGCTGCTTGTCGGCAGACGGCAGGGGGACCACTGCATATGGGGCAAGGAAGGAGCCTCGGAGGCGATTAAGAGCTTCTCGTAGCATGGCTTGGGAAAAGTTGTTCCTTATCGGACCGATGGAAGTGAATGCCTGGACGGCTGGCTCCAATGGCCCTACCGAGATGTGCGGGGTGATTCCCGAGATTAACGGTGGGTACATAAGCGGCAAGTCGGGATGGGGTATTCTGGGTAAGGAGAAAAGGGCGAATGCCTTGCCGAGACCTGGGTACCACGCCCATGACGGTTGAGCTGTGCTGGAGGTTTGGGCTGAAAACCTTGCCAATAGTAACAGTGGAGAGACCATTTATGGGAAAAAGGTCGGTGAGGAGATGACCGACCTGTGTGCGACGTTTGCCTGGTTTTGCTTTTTGTGCCTCCCTCTGTAAAGTTGCCTGATGAATGTTGGAAGGGGACCGAGCTTCTAAGTCTATTCTCACCTCCAAGTCTGAGTCCGCACGAGAGAGAGAACATGAGGAAGAGGTTAGATAGGAGTCGGAAGAAAGTGGAACCAAGAAAAAGGAATGCGAGCCACTGGTGATCGATTGGGGGGACTGGTTAGGGATGTGGCGCTGGCTGATATGCTTGGAGGATGGGTAGAGAACTTTAGGGAGACCTTGATGAGGGGTGTCGAAAACAACGCTCATCTAGGATAATGGTGGACCTAGCCCGAGGGCCGATTGGTGCGCTCATTGGACGAAACAGGTCTTAGCCACCGGTATAAAGAAGGCAGGATGGCGCAGTGGCTGGCGTCGCCAACCTACTCAGATGGACCAGAGATGCCAATAGATGTGAAGGGTGGGGTATCGGTCGTAATGCCAGAGGAAGGAACGTGGACGGACCTGGAGCCGGCCTATCAAACCGTAATGCTGGCCAAAAGTGATGTCTTCCTATGGATTGAAACGATGTGGACTAAGGTAACCTTGACCAGGATAACGCCGTGCCTATTGGACTTAGAGTTCCGGGGGACCGTGGAAGCCCGGGGATGGATCTACCTGTCAAAGGAGAGGGAGACTGCGATGGTTGTCGAACTCGCCTTGGGGAAACTTTCGTACACACTGTTCAGGGAAGCCGAGCCGGAAGTAGTGTGGGCCGTGTGCCAACGAGTGGAAATGACGATGGAATCGATTGATGTGCGGGTAGAACTTGGGGATAGGGAAAACGTRCGGAAGCCGTAYAGGGCCCTAAGGTGTGTCATGCCGCCCTTCATGGTAGACGCCGTCTTTGGAACCCGGAGTAGGTTGGTGCGAATATGCAGGGCCATGGCAGGGTTGGGGTTGCACCAGGGAGCCCGCCAGGATTTCTTCCGGCTGTCGGTCGAAATGGGACCCTTCGAGGGAAACTGGGCAAGGGAACTGGCCGAGATCTTAAACCATATCAGCACAGACGGCCTGTTCGTCCCAAGCGACGTGCATTGGCGGATAGTTTACAGGAATGTTGCGGTAGGGGAAATTTTTATGGAGGGTGTACGGGACCTGTGGCCTGAAGAGAATGAAGATGACTCCGAGGAGGAGGACGGGATGGAAATCGAGGAATGGGATTTCTAGGGAAAAGAGGGACTGAGGACGGAGTGGTTGGGTCGCGTGGGGGTGTGCAGGGGATCAAGGATGGCAAGGGAGCAAAGCTTGTGGGCGCGGATGTTTAGAGGATGGACACCTAGGAGGGTTGAGGGCGGGGTAGAGATGGTCTTGCCAATAAGGAACGAGTGGCGCGGCGCGGCCTGCGACTGGGTGGGAGTAGAGATGGTACTGACTATGTCCTTTCTGTGGGTAGAACGGGTGTGGGATCCGGTTCGAGAAAATGAGGCGTGGGATGAAATAGCTGAGGGGAACGTGGAAGCACTTGGGACGGTGTGCCTTTCGAAGAATGGGTGGTATATGTTTTGCACGCACCTAGCGGCGGGACGAGACCCGATGTGGATTTTAGAGGATGCCGAGCGGTTAACTTGGGAAATGGGGCAGGATTTTGCAAATGAGGGGKGGGATGAAGTGGGAAGCAGGGTCGTGATGGGGGGATGGGAGGACCTTAGGCTCCCCTACCAGTTAGTCCAGGTGAGGGTGTCGCATTTTGTTGCCGACTGGTTCGGAGGGTACGAACATATCCGCGCCGTAGCAGAATCCATGGACGAGGTAGAGATAGGCTTCGCCTGGTTATCAGACGCCTATTACGAGGCGTCATTGCGATTCACGCCGTTTCACGGGGACCAGGCTGAGGAAGTGGTCGAGATCCTGAAGGAACTTAAGGACTACCGACTAGAGGTAGGAGAGGAAGTCGAGGAGGCGATACTCCGTCGGGAAATAGCCGCAGCGCCCTCGTATGTAGGGGACGTCTTCTTGCTGTTTGAGGTCCTATGGATTTGAGTACGGACCTGGGAAGACAGGGGAATAGGGGGATTGACTGGGAAAAGAAAGGGCATTGTACATTAAAAGAAGGGGTAGTGTACACAAGAGGGGGGGGGGAAACCGAAATAGAGAGGGGGGAGGCTAGGGCAACTAGGAGATCAGGGGAGAAGACGAGAACTAAGGGAACTTGACTAACGTGGTGCACGCAGAAATCAAGAGTGAGGAGCGGGAGCAGGTAACGAGAAATGGCTAGGCCTATGACGCTTTGGGAAACTCGGCCGCGAGGGATGTTGCCGCCACGTTTCTTGGATAGAAGGGTGGAGGTTAGCCTGCCCTCCAGGGGCGGGGTGTATAATCCGGTGATGGACTGGGTTGGGGTAGAACTGGTAGAGGACACGGTGTACCTGGTGGTGGAACTAGAATGGCGCGCAAGGGGTGAGTTTGGGGGCACCAACCTGGAATTGCCAGGACGGGTGCGCGCGACAGGGTCCCTATACTTGTCGGATGCGGGATGGCGGACCTTCGGGGTGGCCTTGGCGGATGGCGGTGACCCCGTACGGATGTTTGACGGGGCGTGGCAGGTGACCTGGAGGGAAGGGTTTGCGTTCGCCAACCCGGACCGGGATGACGTGACGGCGACCGTCCGAGTGGTCGAGGTAGGAGCTAGTATCTTGCCTTATGAAAATGTGCGCATGGTCTTGCCACCCTTTTTGCTTGAGCGAATGGGAGGGGTAGAACGTGCTGAGATGGAAGTGATAGCCCTGCATAGGTTGAGTTTTAGTAACATGACCATCTATCGAGAATACTACCGAGTCTTTCTGGAACTAGGGCCGTTCGATGAGGAGCAGGAGTGCGAGGTGCTAAACATTCTACAGGCCGTAGTGGGCACTAGACCTGGAATACCGACGGTAATCGAGGAAGTCGTGTGGGAGATAGCTAGGCGCGAAATAGGATGCGGGTTGACGTATGTGGACGACGTCCACCGGCTGTTCGAGGGGGAAGAAGAATAGGAGGGCAAAAAAGAAAAGCAAGGGGGAAGGTAGATCAGCGGGATCGGGCTATAAGGGGGCTTGAAGAAAACTAAAAAGAGAGGTTCCTTTTCCCTTTTCCCTTTTTTTGTGCGTGATGTATGCAGGGCGATATTTCCCAACAACGACGGCAAGATGCGTCCGTACGAACCGGCGGGACATGCACCCGCAACCTCCCATGGAAACCGGAGGCGGATGGGAAGTGTCACTCCCGGCAAGCTACATTGTCCGGGGGATAGATAAGGAATGGCGGGCTGTGACCCTAGGACGGAATCAGGCTTTCATGCTAGTTGAGTGCCTATGGGGTGGCATGAGATTCGATAGGGTGCAGGAGACGACTTATATACAAACCTCAGGGTGACAAGGACTCTATATTTCCCAGAAATCGGGTGGCAAATGCTGGGAACTGGACTCGCCTTGGGGCATGGGTTGTTACCAGTGTTTCGGAGGGCAGTCAGGGTCCTGAACCGGATAGGCCATGAGGTTAGGGGAAGACGGAATGTGGGATTAAGGACGCGAGTAGAAGTAGGGGGATGGCGAGACTTTAGGGCCCCTATGTCTGGACTGCGTTGCCGGGTGCCCCGGTTCATGGTTGATTTGGTTTTTGGGAGCCTCGCTCGGGCAAGGGACCTGGTGAATTCAACCGTAATCTGGGAACGCTACTTTTCACCACAGGCCACGGGGATGTTCTATGACGTGGCAGTAAGGCACGGGCCGTTCTGGGGAAATCGGGCGCGAGAATTGCTCGAACTTCTTGAGATCCTGATATTCGGAACGCCCCGTCTGTCATTTGAAGAATACGAGCCAATAATCATAAGGGAGATCGAGATGGGGGATAACTATCTCGCAGGGGTGGCAAGACTATTTGAGGAACCGGATGAGAGGGAGAGACCGGAAGAGCCAGCGTAGGAAAGACGCCGGGAAAGATGGTAGAAATAAGAACCAGACGAAAAGAAAAATAGGTATAAAAGAACCGATTGGATGGCCGCGACCAGGTCTACCATGGGTTGAACATATGTCAGGAAAAGGGGGGGCAGAGACGCCGTTGCAACCAAAGGTGCGGCTAAGATGCCTAGGATAAGCAAAGGGAAGAGCAAAAAGGGGTGAAAAATAGGCAATTCTAAAGGCTAAGAGAATTATGTGCGATTGCCAAAAAAAAAAATTCTTTCTTCCATATCAGAGGGCTAGAGGAAGGAAAACATGGCCACGGGAGACGAGGCAGGAAGTCGATTGAGGGACGAAAATCAGGACGTAGAGGACGACGTAGATCAAGAAGAGCGGGACCTAGGGGATCAGAGGTCGGCAAAGTCACTAGGAAACAGGGAGAGGAGCAAGGACGCTGTGCCCGGGGAAGATTCAGGAAAGAGCGGGGGAAGTAAACGAGGGACTCCGGGAACCAAGGAAGTCAGAGACAGGGAGAGTCCGGCACGTCAGCAGCCTGAGGGGGGGAAGCCGAAAAAGGTCAGGCTAACGGATGCACGGAGAAAGCTAGCCGAAGTAGAGAGACGCACGGCATAATACAGGGCAAAACTATTGGAAGAGATCATGAACGATGCCGAGAAAAATGCCGCTGATGACAGGACGTGGGAAGAAGGGGAACTGGACCTCGGGCAAGGAAGCCAGGATGGGGATGCACAACACAGGAAGGATCGGCTTAGAGACACGAGGGACACCCCAACAAGGAAAGGGAAAGAAGGAATAGAATTCCTTACGGAGGATAGGGATAGACCAGTCAATCCACCCCTACTGGACAGCGGAGCAAGCCGACCCTCGGCGTCGCCTGTAAGTGCAAGAGGATGCGAGGGACTCTGGAGCCTGAGGGAAAGGGTGCTAGGATGGTTTGACACGGAAGGGATCGCAAAGCCAAAAGGGCAACCCGATTTTAGCAAGGAAGGCACCGGTCCGAGTTCCGCGACAGGACCTGGGATGGTTGAGGGAGGGCTTAGGAAGGTGGTGTCGTCCCTCACGCGTGCTCTAAGCAAGAACCAGGGATACTTGGCCGACGCCAAGAAAAAGCTGACTTTCGATGGTGGAAACATCACCAAGTTCCTAGTCGATTATGAAAATCTAGCAGCCTTACTAAGATGGACTGAGGAGGAAAAGATGGAGCACCTAGGCCAGCATGTGTCACTCAACCTAGGTAGGGACATAATGGCAATCGTCGCAACAAGCGGATCATGGAAAGAGGCCAGGGACGTGATGATGAGGAAGTATCTAGCAGACGAAAAGATGGCCACAAAGGCGGAACTGGTTACAGTGCACAGGAAGAATTTCGCAACATACAGCGACTTCCTAAGGGAGTTTACTCTCGTAGCACTACGAATCCCCGGAGTGACGGACCGAATAATGAGCAAGTACTTCCTAAAGCAGTTCACCGAGTTTGACAAAGATAAGATCTTGTCCGCCTACCAGCAGACAGCAAAGTTCCTGAACACTAGAGACGTAGATTTCAACACTATAACGGATATTGCCGAGAAGATGGTGGTGACTGACTCGTTGGCCCTGCTAAAAGAAGGAGAGATCATAGATTTGACAGGCAAGACTGGAGATAAAGTGAAGAAAGGAATCGAAAGCCT